TTGTTGTGTCTCTGGTTGTATGGACATCAGGCTTATCCCGGGCTCCATTCTCATCATCTAATCACCCCCAGAGGCCCCTCCTTCTGATGCCATCACGAGAGGACTTTTTTGGCTTTGCTGGCCGGGTATAAACATTCACTCCACATCAGGACCAGGGAACAATCTTCCTGGCTTTTCAGATTCGTACACTCTTCATGCGAAGACTGTGAAGCCCTGGCCTGCTTTAGAATCCTGACACGACCTGCTGCCAGCTGCCAGCACCCGTTCCAGCCCCAGGTCCTTTGCCGCCAGAGAGAGGCTCTCGGCAGGCCTCCCCTCCAGGGCTGGGGGCAGCTTGGTGTTGCTTCAGTGGCTTCCCAGAACCAGCTCGCTCTCATCCTGCCTGCTTAGTCCCAGCAGCTGAACCCTACTGCTTTTTTGGAACTTGGGATTTCTTCAGCCATGGTCAATTTCACTCTTTCTCTTTGCTCTTCCCAGCGTCGTTTGTGTCCATCGGCCTAGGATCTGTCCAGGTTTGGAGTGCACAGGGTCTCTTTAAGATTACCTCTTCCTCCGGAATCATGGACACCACCTCCTCCAGGCTTTGCTCCTGCAGCTTTCCTGTATCCTTGCTTCCTTCCCCTTCCATTGATTTGTGCTTGTCCACTTCTGTTCCCCCGATTGCTGCTGCAACACCTATAGTGATGTAGCAAGACCCGGCAGGCTTGCTTGCATGCTGGGAGCTTCCCTGTACAAAACCAAAACAGCCATGACCTCTATCCTCCACAGCTGCCATGGCTGTGACTTGTCAAACCTTAATTCTCTTCTTTCCACCATAGTCACTTAGAGTGTTTGCTGTGTCTTAGCTGCTAGAGTGGCAGAAATTAATGATATGGATGTCTTTCCTACCCAGAGCTCAGAGACTCAGTTATGATAAGTCACCAATCACAGCACAAATTCATAACAATGCTGGGGTAAGTGCTATGGAAACGCAGTGTTCTTAGAGTTCAGTGGAGGGGACTTACATTGTGTGGGCTCTGCAGAGACCTTTTTAATAAGACAAAGTTTACACAGGCGCTCCGAAACCCACAGGCTAACAATGGAACACAGCAATACAACAAACAAGCGAGAGAGTTGTGAACAAGGAATTTGAAGATCACAGGCTATTCTCACTCAGTTCTTTTGTCTCCCAGCTGTGGGGCATCTCGGCAGAGCAGCTGCTATGGCAGTGAGACACTGCTATCTTGTCTCCTTCTTGGAGCAGTTTTCATAGGGTGAAAATTTGAAGAATGCAGCTGGGTCGTGGCACACTGACACAGGGAATGTTCCTGAAGGACTGTAAGTCAACATATCATGGGATGCTTATTTACTGTACTATTTACAGTAGCCAAGTGGCAGGATCAGCTCAGGTACCTGTCCATAGATAACCAGGCGTACAAAAGGGAGTTTTAGTCACTCAGTACTAAAGAACAGGGAAATGATGTCATTTGCTGGGAAATGGGTACAACTGGAGATTAATATTTTAGGTGAAAAAAGAACCAGACTCAGAAAGACAAATATAGTAAATATATTTTCTCTCATTTGTGGGCCCTAGGACTTTTATAGATACATAAAATCATATAACTATATATTTTAAATCATATATGTAATAAAAGCAGAAGGGAGAAGAGGGGTACAAAGAAGGGGAGACTAAAGAGAAAGGGTAGGAAGGTGAATATGGTCAATGAAATTGATGTGCTTAAAAATACTGTCAGCCGGGCGTTGGTGGCACACGCCTTTAATCCCAGCACTCAGGAAGCAGAGGCAGGAGGATCTCTGTGAGTTCGAGGCCAGCCTGGTCTTCAGAGCGAGTGCCAGGATAGGCTCCAAAGCTACACAGAGAAACCCTGTCTCGAAAAAGCAAACAAACAAATAAATAAATAAATAGTCAACTCAATACTATGCACAGTGAATATGTCAACAAAAAACATCTAGAAGAAGCAATTAGAATGCCAAGAAATAAAACTGAATTAAGCATGAAATGGCACAGCCCTGGGCATGTGACCATTGCTGCAAAGGCGGTCGTGTATGTGTTAGCTTTTCTGTCTGTCTTCTCCAAGTCAACGTCAGGATGATATTGTGTCCTTGTCCTCCTAGGGCTGAGAACTCTCCTCTGTCACATGAGCCCCCTCCTGCTCTCCTCCCTCACTGTAGACTCTTATCTTAACACGGAGTCCAGCTGTCATCCTCATCAGGGTTTGAGGGAATCAGTCCCTGGGAAGACCCTGAAAGACATGTCTGTGTTCAGACACTAATGGGCACGCTAACCACCTCACTGGGAAGAATCCCAATGCCATGGAAGACAGTTTTGGCAAGGTAGGAGCAGTGGGCATGACCAAATATGGAATACATCATGCCGAAGCTCTACTGCATATCCTGGGTGCTTGCTTTTCTGATTTACCACATTTATAATCCTGTACAAACAGTGGAGATAAGATCTGAAATGCCCAAACAGCATTATTCCTCAAAGATTGACAGGCGCAAGCTCCCCAGCACTGCCCACAGCACTGCCTGGAGACTCTCTAGGCTTTTAGTGGTTTCAGATGCTCTCCCAATGCCCCCCTTCCCCAGTGACCTTCACAGGAGCTGCCTGCCCTTTCACGTTGAAAACAACCTTATCTGGGAAGGGAAATATAATTTACTACCTAGGGAACACTGGTGTGTTTGTAATGTTCTCTGCTGAGGCTGCAAAGTGTTTCTGGGCATTTCTGGTATCTGCTTCTCAGGGGAGGCAGTGGTGTCTTGGAAATGGCCTCACTTCTGTATCAGAGTTACTTGTTCCCTTTTGTTAATGACGGTATTTTGTGCCCCGATGAGCGTCCAGCCTGCCCTTCAGCCTCATGTGACTTTCACTCTGATGCTCTAAAGAGTGTTGACAAGTGGGCTCCTCTCTATGCCTCTGTAAAAATATAAGACAACTCCCTAATTTGAATAGTGAACAAGACGAATAAATGTTTTAGTATAGGTATGACCCAAACAGATCACAGGGAATACTTACATAAAAAGGATTATTTGGTTTGCCTAAATTTCAGTCTTACTGGGGCAATCTGTATCGTATTTGGCAACTCTACCCTCTTACAAGGAATCCTCTGTCAGACTAACCTAGGGGTGCACCAACTAGAAGGCTAGATTCTGGGATGTGTCATGATGCTCTATAACAGGCAGGGGGCAGTAGGAGCCTTTGATAATGGGTGAGTAGATCATTTGGTTCTCAACCCATGGGTTGTGACTCCTTCCGGTTGAACGACCTTTTCACAGGGGCCGCCTAAGACCATCCTGCATATCAGATATTTACATTATGATTCATAACGATGGCAAATTGCAGTTATGAAGTAGCAATGAAAGTAATTTTATGGTTGGGGGTCACCACAGCATGAGGACCCAGATTAAAGGGGCACGGCATCGGGAAGGGTGAGAGCCACTGCTCTAGATGAAAGCGAATTCCTCTTATCTGAGGCATTTCAATTACTTTGAGAAACACCTTTCCCCTCAAATATGAAGTGAAACACCAACATCACCCACGAATCTTACTGCAGACAAAGTGGGAGTCAAGGCACTTCCCAGCTCTGGCTACTGAGGTATCATTTAATGCTCACTAACCCAAGCCTTTTGCTAATCACTCTGCCTGTCCAGAGCTGAACTGAGGACTTGGGCTTAGACATTTGTCTGACAGTGCATACCCAGAGGCCGATCCTCTGGGTTTATCACTACTCTACACACAACAGCTGGGATGTGGAGCCAGCCTAGACTTCCACCAAAGGATGGATGGGTGAAGAGAGTGTGGTATGTATCCCAATGGAGTTCTATGAAGCTCTAAAGAAAGATGAAATCACGACATCTGCAGAAAAATGCATGGAACTGGAAATTCATTGCTGTGTTAAGAGAACTATCTAGACTTAAAAGACAAATGCCATGTTTCCCTTACACACAGAGCCTGGATTTAAAATTACATGTATGCATGTGTATGTATGTATGAATACAGCCAAAGTTCACCCCATTGATGAGAAATTTTGCCCTACATCCCACCCCCAACCTCTTCAGCCTTGGGGCAACCTTGCTGCTGAAGCTATTTTCCTGCCTCATGAATTCAACCTGTCACGCTGTTAGATGGATGATGAAATTGGTCCATTCCACACCTCTTTTTCTTCATGGCACACAATTTGAAGCCCCTTTCCCAGAGTAGCCTCCCCCTCCCAAGGTGACACTGCAGGAGGACATCATTTGGCTTAAGCTCAGGCTGGCAGCTGTGAAGACAGATGCTTGCTCATTTCTGTGTGTCCTAGGAGTTGGTCTCCTGTGTCCCTGACCCTAAGGCTACTCAGGGAACACCTTCAGTGGAAGTGGTGGGTTTGCAGAGATCACGGAGTGAATGACTAGAAGCTGCTCTGGGCATTGCCCTCCTGCACGCAGGGCTCATGGGACTTCATACAGCCAAACTTAGATTTATTAGAACTGCATCTCGGGGTGTTTCAGAATATTACTTTAACTATGTAAAGATGTTTTACATTTCTTTATGGCTGCATTTGTTTAATGATGTAAAGATGTGCTGCTTTGCCTGCCTAAGGCATCTGATTGGTCTAATAAAAAGCTGAAGAGCCAATAGCTAGGCAGTAGAAGGAGAGGTGTGGCCAGAGAAAATAAGCAGGAGGAGGAGGGGGAAGAGAACGAGGCAGAAAGAGAGGGAGACGCCCAGGGCCACCCAGCCAGGCAGCCATCAGCCAGCCAGACATCGAGTGAGCAAGGGAGTAGGACATACAGAATGGAAGAAAGATAAAAACCCCTGGCAAAACTAGATGAAGAGAAACAGGTTAAATCACATTGTAAGAGCTAGTGGGATAACCATAAGCCACGGCCGAGCATTCGTAACTAGTATTAAGTTTCCGTGTCTTTATTTGGGAGGTGGTTGGTGGCCCCAAAGAAAACCTGCTCCACAGGGGTCCTGCAGTGCAAGCTGGGTAGCTATCTGTGGCCTCCCACTATAGTTACACAGCAGCTGGGTTGACCACTTTTCCCAGGAAGAGCAGACTCTGTGTGGTCACCTCCCAGAGGAGGAGTAGGAAGGGCCTGTTGAAATGGGCTTGTGAGGCCGATGTCATGTTCAGGGGCAGGGGCTGGGAAAGGAGGCCAGAGGCAGCTGCAGCCTCCGTCCCCTTCTCATTCATGTCCACTACGGCCTTGTGTGACACCTAGGAGAGAAGACAGACAGAGTCAGCACTCATCCATGGCTTGAGGGCAGAGGCCACCTGTAACCCTTGGACAGTGGCTTAGAGCCTGTTCCGGCCCCTCAGGTCTACGCTGCCTAAGAAACAACCCCAAATTCTATGTGTCATCCCCCCCCGCCTCTGTGCTGATGCCCCCTCCCTAGTCCGAGTACCCTGACATGAGGCAGCCTGGGCCTAGCTAAGGATCTAAGTGCCAGGTAGACTCAAGCCCAGCAGCCACACAGGGCACAGGGTTCTTTGAGCTTTACCTACCCTCTCTAAACTTCCTCTGTCTTCTCATCTTAAAAATGGCTTGTGGCCAAGAGCCGGTCTAAATGAGGAGGGTGGAACAAAGCCCAGGCTGCCCTAAGCACAGAACATTAAAAGTGTCATTTTTACACAACTTCCTAACAAGAAAGGACTCAGACTTCAAAAGCAGTTGGGGAGTTTTTAACTCCAAAAAGGGTCCGTGAACGGTAACTGAAGCACACAAGGCCACTGCGCCAAGTTCTCAGAAGTCTTCACTTTCTTCTTGTCTACCACCCCACCCCACACGGGTTCACATGCACATCCTCATACATACACACATTCCCATGCTCTCACAGACATACCCTTTACATGTATGCACAGAAACAAGACCGCATCCCTGCTGCCTTTGCCGTGCATTAAGTTCTCAGCTGGTCCCTCCTAAATACAAGACAGAGTCCATTCCTTGCAAGGTTCTAACAAAAATTCTGATGGCAATGAATTTACCTTCAAACCCAAGCCAAGCTAAGCTCTGGGAAGGGCCTTGGGCACCTTCCTTCCTGGGAAAGGCTACCCTTTCTGTTTGAGCACTACAAATGCTTGTCCATTCCACGTGACTTGTGGTGTCGCCCATCGGGGAGAACCCAGCCTGTTCCCATTGATTGAACAGGAGACCTGCTTTAGTCAGTGGTTGTGAGCAGCTGTTATCTAGGCCTGTGGAGGATGGAAGACTTAGTGGCCATGGGATGTTTCTCTCATCTTCCCTTTCTCCTTTGAGAGAGGGATTTTTCTGTGGTAGAATATTATTTTAAGGAATGTGACTTTTGTTTATGCTGCATTTGTTTAACTCTGTGAAGCTGTGATTCTTTGCCTGTCTAAAACACCTGATGGGCCTAATAAAGGCTTGAACCACTAATAGTGAGGCAGGAGCAAGGATACGCAGGGCTGGAAGGCAGAGAGAATAAATAGAAGGAGGGACAGCAAGGAGCCACAAGAGAACAAGGAGAAGAGGACTTCAGGGGCCAGCCACCCAGCCACCCAGCCAGCCATGGAGTAAGAAGTAAAGAAGGTATACAGGAGTAGAGAAAGATAAAAGCCCAGAGGGAAAAGGTGGACAGCTTAATTTAATATAAGAAAAACTGGCCAGAAACAAATCAAGCTAAGGTTGGGCACTCATAACTAAGAACAAGCTTCCATGTGTGATTTATTTGGGAGCTGGATGTTGCCCTCCCCTAAAAGCTAGAAAAGCCAAAAGAGCAAAAACCATCTTTTCCTTTAACTTTGCCTTCCATCCTGGAAGAAGCCATAGGTAGCAGCTCTGTAACCAGGTTACACAGATGCTTCCAGAATGCACTGCCCTCTAGAGACAGGAGAGCAAAGTAGCCAGCCTCTTTAACAGACCGTTTGTGCCTGCCTACAAGTGTCCACAGCAATTGGGCTAGTTGACTGTTGACATTCCCTCACAAAAGGAGGGGGTGGAGTCACCAGCCCCTTCTCTGAGAGTCCAGTGGCTCCTCTCAGCCATTTGTACACAATTCTGCTCTATTTGCAAGAGTATATGGCTGAGGGAGGTTGATTGAAGAAGGGCTCTATCTGTGTTGAGTGAAGAAAACTGACTGGGGGGGGGTCTACTGCCAGTAACCCCTCACCCACACCCTGGAAGTAATCTACTAAACTCAAAGGCTCCACACGATGGACTTGGAGGGAATTGCACTTTGTGTTCTGGTGGGACCTAAAGAAGAATGGGTGGACATGCTTTACATCTCCTCTGGGAATTTTCACAATAAGCCCCTGTTGTGGTGATGCTCTGGGATGTAGGGGATGCTTGTTACTGTAGCAATGCTGACCACTACACCTCCTGTTCACACTCTATTACTTTCTATGGGTGTAACAAAGACAGATAGAACTCCAGGTGCCTGAAGAGGAAGTATTTGGAATAAAAGAATGTTACCCCTAACCTGGCATGATTCTGGCCCTGTGGGTGACTTCAAATGATTACCATTCTACTTAGAACCCTACGTTCCTGCCCTGACTAATGTAAATCTAGAGTAGGGGAGATGAACATGGAGTTGTCTGTGAATAGAATCTGAAAAGATTGTGTGTTGAAAAAATCAGTCTAGGAAAAAGACTGGGGACTTTGATTTTTCAATGCACTTCCTGTGGGAAAAGAAACATCCCTCCTCTCCACACCCACACTTCCTGCATTACCCTGGAGACAGTTTTGTTGAGTTGCCCCATGATTCCTGATAGGTCAGCTTCCACACCAAACATGTTGCCGAGACCAATGAGGGGCAGGATCTCTTCCAAGTTGTAGGATGCAGAAATTGAGAACCTTGGCAGGTGCAAATCCAACAGACTAGGGAGGGAATCAGAGAAAAGGCACTGTCCTGCAGTGTGTTGTAGCTTGAGCCTTGAGAAAGAGCAGCGTACCCCAGCTTGTGAGATGATCAATCTTCCTGTGATGTGATTGGCTATGGTAGACTATTCCATTACCAACACCCACCCAAATCTCTCTCTACATAGACCTCACGGTGACTCTTGGCTGGATCTGAAAAGTTTTCAGGCAGAGGAGTCTGTCTCTATCATCTTACCCATGTTTGTTGGATTGCTTTCTATGTGCCAGACACTAGCCAGAGTTTCCCACGACTCCACTGATTGAATCCACTCAATACCAGGTAGAGTAAATACTGTTTGCACTTCCCACCCCCACATCTGATTCATCACAGGTGCTTCAGGCTCAGCTCCCCAACTGTATCCTACGTCCATTTACTGACACTGCCCCAATGAAAGCCATCATCACCTTCCTCCACCTGCCTGAGCTTTTCTGAAAAGTGGCACAGACATGCCAATCTCCCAGGTCTGCAGCAAGCATCTAGAGCAGTGGTTCTCAACCTGTGGATCCCAATCTCTTTGGCAAACCCCTATCTCCAGAAAATTTTAACATTAATATTCATATCAGTAGCAAAATTACAGTTACACAGTAACAACAAAACTAATTTTATGGGTTGGGGTCACCACAACATGAGGAACTATATTAAAGGGTCACAGCATTGGGAAGGTTGAGAATTAGTGATCTAGAGAGAGGACTCAGGAGTCCTGAACCCAAAGACAGAAACACCCATCCTCACCATCAGATTGCCATGTTCCCTGGGCTGAATGCAGAAATTTCTTTTAGCCTAGAGGAAATCTACCCTTTTCAATGACATTATCATGTTCTTCCCTTATTAATATGCAATTGTCAGGGCTCTGTCAAATTGTCTGGCTAATAACCAATCCACTTGGGAACATGCTACCTGTAAAGAACTCAGTTTAGATTACTGTTGTCATGGCAGCCCCATGTGGGTGGTGCCATCCTTGGGCCGGTGGTCCTGGGTTCTATATGAAAGCAGGCTGAGCAAGTCATGATGAGCAAGCAGTGAGCAGCTCCCCTCTGTGGCCTCTGCGTCAGCTGCTGCCTCCAGGTTCCTGCCCTGCTTGAGTTCCTGGCCTGGCTTCCGCAATGATGAACGAAGCCAATTAAACCCATCTTTCCCAAGTTGTTTTTGGTCCAGGTGTTTCACCATTGCAAGTAGTAACCCTGACTAAGACACCATTCCTGGGAGAAAACCTACTGTCTAGAAGGTTCTATGGCCCTTCCTCCTGTAGTGAGGGATAGGAAAGCTCATCCTGGAGGAGCGAGACTATACAGTTGGAAACCTGGACTGACAGGAGCTTTACAGAGTCCAGTAACTGCTTAACCCTGGCTTTTCCTCCTGACTACATCTTTCATATTCATTCATTCTTTCTTTCATTCATTGTTGCCTTAATCTCTGCATTCTTCCTCTACTAGGGGTACTGCACCGTGATAGGGTGCTGAGAGGAAAATCTGTGTGTGTGGAGAAAGATGGGTACCCATCAGGTTGTTCTGGGTTAGAATGGCACCCCCAGAGATCTGGGGCTGCTCTGGCCCATAGGCTATGACAGAAACGAGAGCACTCGTGGGTTTGTCCATGCCTTAAAGAGTGGTGGCATTCGTGTCCTATCCTTTTGCACCCTTCCTCTTGGAGTCCTGAGCTGCCACATAGCAATGTCAATTACACCGAGCAGCTCTCCGAAGCCAGCCTTGTGGTGTCAGAAGCCAGCCTGGGCCCCAGAAACTCAAATGAAGGAACCTCCCGTGCCTCTGTCTCTGCTGCCACCAGACCCCAGTGGGTGAGAACTGCTTAGCTGAGCACATTCAGTGAAGAGGACCAATGGTGTTGACAGGTTAATTTTTTTAAGCTGTTTAGTTGGGTCTGGCTTGTTTTGCAGCAAAGATAACTAGAACTCGCAACCAGATTTTACTCCAGACCATGCCATATAGGCAGATTCCCCCCAAGAAGGGGTTAGTCAGTGAATGGGGATGAGGGAAACTAGATAAAGCTAAAATTGAAGTTAGAAATCTATAAATCAATTGCAAGGAAGATGGCAGGGGTTTGTTAGGGGTTGTGGAAGGAAGGACCTCCCTTGCTCTCTCTCTCTTCCTCCCTCCTTCCCTTGCTTTCCCCTTTCTCTTTCCCTTTTCCTATATTGGACCCAGAGCCCTATGCATGCTAGGCAAGTAGTCTACACCAGATCTATACACTCTGTCTACCACCTCTGTTTTATTGTTGTGTTTTTAAATCTTGAGACAAGGTCTCGCCAAATTGTCCTTGAACTCATTCTGTAGCTCACACAGGCCTTGAACTTGTGACCCACCTACCTCCCAGGAACCTGGGGTTACAGACCTGCACCACCTGATCTGGCTTTGATGGTCTTGATTTATCTAATTCTTTTCACATGTTTTAATAAAAAGCACTGTTTTAAAAACATATACACTGTTCTGTGGGCATCATGGTCATCTTTAATAAATTTCTGATCTTAATTTTTGGGCAGACTTAGCTATTTTACTGTGTTAAATTACTATGAAATTGAGGGAAGTGAGGGAAGGAGATTGAGCCAGAAGGACCCCAGGGAGGGGTAATAAACAGAGCCGGTGAGCACTTACATTCTAGTACCTGCCTAAGTTCTCCAGTACTATCTCCATTCATCCCCACCCCCACGTTCATGCAGTAGGTACCATGTCCTTATTTTAACACTCAAAGAAATCTGAGGCCCAAAGACTTGGGGAAACCACTGTGCAGTCGAGGGTGAGATGGTGAGGCAAATCCAGCAGATGGATCTTGGGACTGGAGTTGATCAGCCTTACCCCAACTTCTGAGCAAGGACAGACAGCACACTGGGGCACTCACCTGGGCAGGAACAGCTGGCCCCACCTTCTCAGCGTCTCTGGCTTGAGGGAGGCCTCTACCTGCTGCATCTTCCCAGGGTCAGGGAGGACCAGCAGCAGCAGGGCGGTGCCGCTGTACTCAATCTGAAGGACAGTGCACGATGCTTCCTGGTCATACAGAAACCTGTGCATTTCCTTCTGCTGCATCATGGGGATCCGGAGCACCGTCCTCCGGTCCAAGAAGAAGCTCTCCTGCTTCCGGGTCTGGTAGCGATCAAAGGGATGCTTCCACTTGGCTGAGGGTACAAATGAACACATGGGCAAGACCTCCACAAGGCCACATAGGGTGATAGTGTCCTCATGAATGTGTCAGAAGTAGCAGGGCCCAAAGCTAGAGGGCCTCGGTGACCTATGGTTAGGCTGTACTGAGAGAATTTGCTTACAAAGCAGACAGAGAGTGGCCCTGGCTTCCTTGTACAAAGCCTGATTTCTCTCTTTTAAGGAAGTTTTTTTAAAAAGATTTTTTTATTTATTATGTGTACAGTGTTCAGCCTGCATGAATGTATGCTGGCCAGTAGAGGGCACCAAATCTTATTACAGATGGTTGTGAGCCACCATGTGGTTGCTGGGAATTGAACTCAGGACCTTTGGAAGAACAGGCAGTGCTCTTAACCGCTGAGCCATCTCTCCAGCCCCAGAAGATTTATTTTAATTTTATGTGTAGAGTGTTTGCCTACCTGTATGTCTAGTCACTGTGTATGTGCAGTGCCCAATGAGGCCAGAAGAGGGCATCGGATCTCCCTGGACATGGAGTTACAATTGTAAGCCAGTTCTAAGAATTGAATCCAGGTCCTCGAAAGAGCAGCCAATGGTCCTAACTATGGAGCCATCTCTCCAACCCCTGAAGAACTCGTTTAAGACATAAGACTTCAGGAAAATAAATGGGATGGAGATGCACAAAGTGAAGACACAAAGAATAAACAGGACTTAAGTCAACAGAATGAGTAAGAGTGCACTCTTAGTAAGGGAGTAGGCATGAACTGATTGACACACCCTGATTTCCAGAGCCATGACTGTGTGAGCTGGGCTTGGCAGCCTGATTCTGACAACACAGCTCAGGTTATGTGGGAGCGCGAAGGCAATCATCTGACTAGATGCCTCAGTGTTTGCGAAGAGCTTCAAGCTGGGGATGCTGGCCCCCACCTGCAGCACCAGCACTGGGAGAACTGTGAGGCAAGAGGATCGCTTACTCATGGGCTGTCTCCTCAGCCCCATTCATTCGTTCATTCATTGATCCTTTCATTTATTCATTTGAGGCGAGGTCTCTATATAATCCAAACTGATATCCAATTGGGATGCTCCTGCCTCAGGCTCACGAATGTGCCACCATCCTGAACTAGATGTCCCCTTTCTGGGAAGTCATGCCTTAATCCAGGGTCTCTGTTACGAGTTCTATGGAACGAACTTGACACCATTCCCTTGAACTGTGCTTTCTCTTTCCTTACTTCCAATCCATAGGGGACATGAAAGACACGCAGGTAGGGGAAATCTATTATCCACAAGTGGCAGGCTCCTGGCCAGCCAGTGCAAACAGAACAGTTACTTACAGAGAGGACAATAGTTCTGTCAGAGAAGTCTCACCTTTGAAGAAGATGTAGTTCAAGAGAACCATGAAGGTGTCGTGGCCAAACTCCGGGAGACAGCCCACCACCTGCCCGTAGGTCTGCTTCCTCACCAAGTCATTGATCTGCTGCCCTGTGGCACCTGCATCTGTGAAGTTGGCAGAAAAAGCCAGCGCTCCATACAGCTCCTTGGCGCTGTCCAGGAAGTGCTGCTGAGGCTTCAGCTGCCTGTCTAGGAACAGGGAATGTCGCACTTTCAGTTCCAGTTTGGAGCTGGGCAGGTCAAGTGTGTGCAGGAGGCTCTGGAACCCCCGGTGGATGTCAGGGGCTGGGGTCTCTGTGAGGTTGAAGCCCAGGCTTTCCAGCATCTGAGCCTGGGTGTCAGCAGGTGCCCCAAGAGAGAGAAGGGCCACGATGCTAGAAAGGCTCACAGGGGAGAAGAGCACGTTTCCGGGGACCTTCTCTGCTAGCTGCTTGTACAGACGCAAAGCAAAATTGGTGATGGTGGGAGTGACCTTGTGATAGGCGGGTGCTGGCTCCAGGAGCTGGTGACTGGCTGCCTGAGGCACCCCCAGACTCTTCTCTGCATGGGCAGAAAATGGCTGACAATGAACAGGGAGCAGGACCTTGGTGACCAGCAGCCACAGCCAAAATGGGCCCATCATCTGAAAAGAAGGTGGGGAGCATATTAGTCTTCTTGGCAGATGATACTCATCACCCCCAGAGCTTACTGTCAAACCACCACCCACGCCTAATCCCTCACTGCACTGCAGAGAAGGGAGAGGGGGCGACTTGGACTCTAGCCCCAAAATAGATCCTGCAATCCGGCCCTCCTCATCCCTCCTTCCCCCTCCCACCTTCCCTCCCTCCCTCCCCCCCTCTTCTTTTTCCTTCTTGTTCTCTCCTCATTTTTCCATCTTCATCTCTTATTTCTTCCCATCCCACCCTCCCCTTCCTTCCTTCTTCCTTTCTTTTCTCCCTCATCTCCTTCCATTTTATTTTTATTTTTTCTGGATTTTTTTTGGACCCGGTTGTTTTTTTAATCATACATAACTACCAAGGCTCCATCAGCTCTAAAGGTGTGTTAGGCACTGAGTATGTTATGGAGAAAATACATTAACACAATCCCAAGATTTAGAGTTTAGGGTGGTGTTTCTCAACCTACCTAATGCTGCAACTCTTTAATACAGTTCCTTGTGCTATGGTGGCCCCAAACTATAGGGTTATTTCATTGCTATTTCACAACTGCAATTTTGCTACTGTTATGGTTTGTACTATAAATATCTGATGTGCAGCCCAAGGGGTCTTGACCCACAAGTTGAGAACCACGGATACAGGGCACAGCTGAGGCAATATCCAGTGTCGGGCTAGGCAGATGCGTATGTAAGAGAGGATGCTATAGAATAAGTGTTCTATACATGAGTGACGCTGTGCCCCCTGAGTGTGGATGTGGGTAGTTCAGTCAGTGGCAAGGAAGAGGGTGGTGTACAATGCCTCCTATAGCCCTCAAGGAAAGAGGCCCTCTATCCTTGAGAACTTACATTAGCTTGAATTAACCACCCAGCCCTCAGAGATGTAGGCAGTCTGTGAGGGACGATAAAGTAACAGGATCTAAGGCTCCCGAGAAGAGATCTTAGAGAGACATGTGCTCTGTCTCCACATCTCCACACCCCTGCTGCCTGGAAACCATCTATACCATGTGCAGAAACAGAAACACTTCTGTGCAAGAATGGAGGAGTACTGTCTACACTGTGTGCGTTTACAGAATCACCTGTGTGCAAAGATGGAGGTATTCCATCTATGCTGGTGCAGCCACAGAAACACCCATGTGCATGGATACAGGGGTACCATTTACACTGTGTGCAATGATGGAAATACCCATGCACTTGGATGCAGGGGTACCATTTACAGTGTGCAGTGATGGAAACAGCCATGCACTTGGATGCAGGGGTACCATTTACAGTGTGCAGTGATGGAAACAGCCATGCACTTGGATGCAGGGGTACCATTTACAGTGTGCAGTGATGGAAACAGCCATGCACTTGGATGCAGGGGTACCATTTACAGTGTGCAGTGATGGAAACAGCCATGCACTTGGATGCAGGGGTACCATTTACAGTGTGCAGTGATGGAAACAGCCATGCGCTTGGATGCAGGGGTACCATCTATGTTGTGTGTAGCAACAGAAAGACCTGTGTGTATGGATGCAGGGGGTTTGGAAAGATCTGTTACAGATTAAGTTGTGCCTGTCCTAACTTCATATGCCTAGTTCCCAAACCCTAATAATAATAATGCTGCTTTGCTTAGAGATGGAGTCCTTGGCTGGGTAGTGGTGGCACACCCCTTTAACCCCAGTACTGGGGAGGCAGAAGCAGGCAGATCTCTGTGAGTTCGAGACCAGCTTAGTCTACACAACAAGTTCCAAGATAGCCAAGGTTACACAGAGAAATCCTGTCTCAAAAGAAAAGAACGATAAAAGAAAGGAAGGAAAGGAAAAGAAAAGAAATGGAGTCTTTACAGATATAATTAAATAAGATGTGGCCATTAAAGTGGGTTTTAGCCCCATATGATTATTGTCCTTGAGAGAAGGGGACTTTGGATTCTGAGAAGCACCCAAGGAGGATATTGGAGAAGATGAAGTCAGAGACGAGACACTGCTGCAAACCACAAAATGCTGAAGGTCTCAGGGAGGGCCTGGAATGGGTTTTCCAGTACAGCCTCAGAAGGGTACAGTCATTGCCTTGACTATGATCCTGGACTTCCAGAAGTGCAAGGCAAAAATGTCTGTTTGAACCCCAGCTCCTGTGTGTAGTGGCAGCCCCCTGCAAGCAAATGCCAAATATCTTCTGCTCCAGTTAAAGTTATGAGACATGCCAGAATAGCCTTGGGTCACCTCCACAAGGTTCCAAGAGAGGCAGGAGCTGGAAGAACCTTGGCTTGAGTGCAGAGGTGGAGCCTGCTATGTAGACAAAGCTAGGTTGACCCCACTTTGCATCTGCTTCCTCCTTTTCCTTTACAGGTGTCTCCCACCCCCACAGCCCTGCAGAGGCCATATCCCCCTCCCCAGCCTGCATTCCTCTGGACCCTGTTAGCCTCCTTTGTCCCCACAAACAAGTCCTTCCATTTTAAAATTCCACAGCCAGTAGCTACAAGCTGACACTTGACTCTAGTCTTTCCTGAAGGCATCTACATTGTGATCAATACCTTCTTTTATCCAGCTGGCTCAGTGTCAGCTGCTGGTGTGGTAAAGGAGAGAGGCCAGAACTGCCCCTGGCTCTCAGAATGCCTGCCAAATTACAAGATCCACCTGCTCTCAGAAGGGGAGTGCTATGTTGAAACACATTAAATTATGGCGGACATATCCTAAAGTCAGGTTCTCCCAAAAGCACAAGCTCCATGTACGTGGATTAAGGGAAGTTCCGTGTGCTTGGAACTTTCCTTGGATAGAAAAACTGGAAGCTGTAAAATAATTGAATAATTGGTCTGCCCCTGGTAAATTAAGGGCAGAAACTGTGAGGGAAGCATGCATGGCCATTGAACTCAGCAACTTTCCCTACCATGCTGCACCCCAAGGTGACTCACAGAAGCACGTATATCCCAAGGAAGACTGAACCATAGCCAGGGCTACTGTATGTAGCCTGGGCTTGAACTAGGGCTCTGCAGTTACTCACCGTGTGTTACTGTCTCTGCAATTCAGGGCCTCCTTTTGCAAATTTCAAATGGCAATGCCACCCCCTTTCATGATTAATGTCGTCTGACATGCAAAGTCCCAGTGCGTGGGAAAGCCACGGCAGGAAATTGTCTCTCCTACTTCTACCAAAGCTGGGTGCAATGGAAATCTGGTGCACTTATCTCTGTCCCCAGGCAGATTCTCCGAGAAAATTCAGAACTCTGTTCCTGAATTATAAACCTTCTCGTTTCGTAATGTTTGTTGAAGTGCTGGGTGCATCGGCCACATTGCATCACTGGTCTGCAGACAGAGGTATTTACATATGTGTGGGGAGGGTGCGAGTGGGGTGCCATCCCAGGTCTTATCAGTGACTGGAAGGTGAGGTATTGCTTTTGTTTCCCAGCTGAGGCAAGAACACCTGGAAGCTACTGAAATGCCGAGAGCCACGGTCCTGCTCAAATACTGTGGTGTCTTGCTCTCTTTCGTTTAAATTAATGCTCCTGAGACCATCTAGCCACAGAGACTCTTAACCCAGGTGTGCATATGGGGAAACTGAGGCAAGACTTGATTCCAGACCTGAGTTTCTGTGCCCGGGCCTGTTGCCATAACTGAGCTCTTAGTAAAAGTTCCATATTGGCTTGCTAATGGTATCGGGAGTTCATATGTCATGATTCCTGATGACTTCGTTTTCTAGAGAAGGTGACTGAAAACCTGAAGCTCTAGCTTTAAGATTCAGAGGCAGCACTCAGTAGGGCCATCCAAGGGACTTATTGCCCGTTTCTGCCTCTAAAGCCAAAAGTGATAGATAGATAGATAGATAGATAGATAGATAGATAGATAGACAGACAGACAGACAGACAGACAGACAGACAGACAGACAGACAGAGGCCTACCTTCATTTGGAGTATAGCATAGTCACAGAGAAGTCACCTAGGTGGGTACAGCTCCACAGGCTCACACAGCCTCCTACCCACAGGGCAATAGTGTTTGAAGACCACAGCAGCCTGGTCAATATTTGTCAGGTCAATTCCTAGAACTGACAGGAAGGCAAATGGGACAAGTGGGAAAGGCTCTTTTTCCAATGTGTGCCCCTGCTGCTGGTCTCATAAGCATGAAAGTGCCCCATTCTGTCTGATGGTGCGGTGACACTGGGGTGGTGGTGATGGGGGCAGGGAGTGTGGGAGATGCTGGCCTGTGTACTGGGTCTTTGCAGAATCCAGCAACCCTGGTGGTGAGACAGTGAGGAATGTGTGGCCATTTCTATTTCACAGATGGAAGCATGAGGCCCAGTGGCTTGTTCAGCAGTCACTCCAAGACTTTGTCACCATGCCAAAGCATCCCATCCCAGACATTTTAAATAGAGAAGGTGCTGGAGGGAAGTCCAGTAAGTGTTAAAGGATCTATGTGATGGGGGAAGTCCTTCTGTACATATGTTTCTCTAATTGGTTGAGGAATAAAACACTGTTGGCCAATAAGGCAAAAAGATAGGCAGGGCTAGGAGCCGAGGAGAATTCTGGGAGAGGAAGCAGAGAAAAGTGGACAGATGGTCACAATGTGGACGACAAAGAGTAGCAGGTCCCGACCACCCTTCTGCAGTAAGATAAGACCTTGTGAAAATACATAGATTAATAAAAATGGGTTATAATTAAGACAGAGCTAGCCAATAAACTTTCTAGCCAATGGCCAACAGTTTCATAATTAATATGTCTCCATGCGTTCATTTGGGGCTGAAGGGTGGCGGGACCAGCTGGGACAAAGAACCTCTCATTTCACCTATGAAGTAGGGGCTGGAGCTGTGTCTCAGTGCTTGGGAATGGATGCTGCTCTTGCAGAGGACCTGAGTTTGAATCCCAGCGCCCACTTCGAGTAGTTCCCAACTACCTGTAGCTCCAGCTCCAGGGGATCTGACATCTTTCTATGGACTCTGAGAGAACCTGTCCTCATGCAAGCACACACACACACACACACACACACACACACACACACACACACACACACACACACACACACGAACATCAC